GGGGGGGTTATTGAGCACTATGGTTGTGTTTGGTCAGCCCTTCTATGCGGCTGTGAATGATGGACAATCGCTTAAGACAGTGAAAATAAAACAAAAGCAACAGAAATGTGGTTTCTTAGGAGACTGTTGAGAATTTCTTGGAAGGACAAGAAATTAAGCGAGATGGTACTTGCTCGCTGATTAAAACAATAAAATCAGGAAGAGACAAATGCAGTCTCTGGGATACTTGAATAGACATAATAAGATGGGCCTTGAATATCTAGCTCTCTCTTACAGGTAAAGTTGAGGGCAAACGGGCCAGGGTAGACTCTGGGCAATCAACTTGGAAACCCAACACAGATGGGTGACGGGAAAAGATCAGGATAATAACGATACATGTAGCTTTTTTTAGAGCATCCGACCAACGGAATGAAATGGCGAGCCATGATCGCTGATGTTTGTCTCAGATCTGGCACTGGATGATGATGATTGCACATGAGATGGACATGTTCCGACTGTAGTGACCCCAACACTATGGACAAGGTGTGACAAGGCGTGTGATTGCACACTAACAGCCGTTATTCATTATTGTTTTGTGTTTGTTTCCCCCCAGAGAAAAGATGACACAGATCATGTTTGAGACCTTCAACTGCCCAGCCATGTACGTGTCCATCCAGGCCGTGCTCTCCCTCTACGCCTCTGGCAGAACCACAGGTAAACATGACGCACCTTTTCAAAACCCCAATGGCCAAACAATCAAAGTCTCAAGTTCGAAATGATTGAATTATCTTGTCTTGTTGGCAAGCTTTTCAAATGACATACTACTAAGCCTAAAAAGTGATTTCAGAAGAGAGAAAAAAACAACACACCAACTGTTTTACTCTTTTAACTTTTGTACCTACATGTTCAATGGCCTGGTGGTGGTGTCGAGACAGCCATCTGTAACAGTCTAGTACACTTCTAAACAAAACACCGAGGGCCTTTGATTTCCCTTTCTGTGTGGACATGCGTGGGCCAGTAACAGTACATGTAGAGTCTAGATCTAAAATGGCGAACCAAAATATAAAGCGTACAACCCTCGTACGATCATTTATTGATTTTTATGCCAGTGAATTTCTCAGCTGTAATAAGAATTGATATTTTTATGTGTCCAAAAAAACTACTATGGGTCTTCTTGCTGTTATTACGAATATATTTTCATTATTATTATTATTATTACTATTAT